AGATGAGAAAGGAAATCTTAAGCCTCTGTTCTGAGAAATGCAGCAAGATAAATCTGATCTGATTCGATCTGACAGGAGGTTAATAATGAGTTCAGCAGAATCAGAAATTAATTGTCTTCTGTTAAGGCCACACACAGTTTGAAATGGTGAGACCAAGCATCATTCTCTTCATGAAACCACGGAAGGAAAAAAACGAGAAAAGAATCAGAAGTGTGTAATCATCCTGGCTTTTACAAAAGCAAGTAGTTCTGCGGGCCCGCCAGATGCAAGGACTTCTCCCTCTCAGGGCAGGCGAGAGGCAAAGTGCATTCAGTGCCTGTGCCTTTCCCAGGGAACGGGGCCATCAAAAGATCCTGCTACCTTAACACACTGTGCATTTAATGAAAGGCAACTGCTATTTTAAGATTTCATAAGGCACTTTATAACAAAGAGGAGTTGCAGACACCATCCCCATTACCACCAGGCTTCCACCCTCTCTTTCAGCTTTCTCACTAAGCCAGCTCTCAGAAACTTTTACAGATAGTTAGAGCCGTCAAATGAATGTTAGTCGCTCAAAGGCTTGGTCCAACCATGTTCAGCTGTTATGGCTTAAATTAAATTGATACTAAAATGGTCTCCTTTTTATTAAAGTGCTATAATCATTGCGGCTACAATCCCTCACCACAGTGTAAGTAGTAATAGGCTGATACATGTCACCATTGCTGATAGCTGTCAGAACCTCTTTTTCCAGAACTGGAAAGCAAAATAAACCTCCCAATTATTCTCAAAATGGAAGGATAACCCCTTTTCCAGGGTAGAGACATGTAAGATTAATTTTCTTCTCTGTTCTGTCAAGCCATATTGCAGATTTATTTAATGCATTATGTGCAATGCATTCGACTTCAGAGCTCACAAAGAGGGTTACAAGCTATGTGAAAATTTAAGGTAGAAAATGTAAGGCTCCTGTGAAGCCACTGGCAAAACTTAACACAAAAGGGTCAGAATTTCACTCTTGGTCTTTCTCTTTAGTCGTCGTAAAGATTTTCATGTAGTAATTGTGCCTGTGGGATGACTGGGACTCATGTTGAAAACATGACTTCTGCTCTCGCACTAAAAAGTTTTGGAAGTTAAGCTACTCTCAGCACCACACATCAACCACACGGATGTCCTTACAGCAAATTATCTTCTGACCCTTACAAATATGATCTAGTAAAAGTTCTGCGAAGCGATGATATGATTTTTGGCTCTCTAGTGAGATACTGTTTTGAGTTTTCTTTTGTGGAAAGCATTATTTAAAATCCTTCAGTGCAGAACTGTTTTTCTAGCAGCCCATAGTGACAAGGCGTAAAGCTGAACCATGCATAAGGTTTGGATCTTTGCTGCCCTGAAGCAGTTACACAGACTGCAGCATTCAGACACAGGGCTCTTGGCTGGCACCACAACTGAGGCAAGAGCTGCAGCATCCCCTCTGAGCTCCATGCTTTGGTGGCCCGAAAGGCAGCAGTGAAGCAATGCAGGCATGTCAAGGAGACTCCGGGAGACAGCAGAGGATGCTGAGGTCAGAGCCAGTGGCATGAGGAGAAGGGAACCCTGACTGTAAGGAGAAGGACAAGAGGTGGTGGACGTGGATGGTATGCAAGGGAGAAACGAGGCAAGTACAATCATGGAAAAAGAAAAATAGGGTGGCAAGAAGACATTCTTCCAGCCTTTTTTTTAGGTTGAGATCCAGATTGCTTTCTGCACAGCAAATCCACATTATACTTCAAAAACTGGATGCTCATGAATAAGGTCTGGCCTAAACAGCTTTTTTCCTGTAACATTTCCAAAAGCCTCTAGAACTGGTGGAGGCATATTGCTGTTATCAACAGCTATTAATTTTTTTTGAGAAAGATTAATGTAGAAAAGCTCTGTCCAGTGCCAAGGTTTTCCTCACAATTTAATGTACTGAAAGCTTGTTACATCAACAGTTTCTCTTTGCTCTAAATCCAGACCTTGTCATTCAAGACGGGTTAAGATCCATTTGCTGAAAGAGTAAAGGTACCTAGTTGGAAACTGTTAGCATCCTGACTTGTGGCAAAATTGAAGAACTGCATGTCCATCCCAAGACTCAGGATTTGCAAGGGATGCCTTGTAAAAGCAAAAGAGATGACAGTCAAGGAGAGAAAGCTGTTTGTTCAAAGCAGTGCACAGCTATGCTGCGTGAGAGGAAAGTCCAACCATCCCCAGTTTGAATAATATGCCTTCTGCATCAAAGGGCTAGCAGAACCAAAAATCACATTTTGTCTCTAGCAAAAGGAGGCATTTTCATCTAAAATCTCACAATTCAATACAGTTTGGTATTTCACCGTCCTTTAATGAAATATGCATAATATATTGTAATATATTATAATTATAATATAATAATATATCATAATATAATAATAGAAAAAACAATTTTAAATGTCAAAATGAAGCATTTCAAAGGCCTCTGAAATGTGGGCCCAGGCTTTCTCAGGCTAAAAGAATTTTGATAAATGACATGTTTTTTGAAAGCATTTAGTCAATCCAAAGTGCATTTAAAATACACTTCGACATACAAATTTTATGTAGCTCTGCTATAGTAAAATAGCAGAATACGGCTTACCTTAATATACTTAGATTAAGCCCCCATATAGTCAATATACACGGATATATCTAACACACCAGCAATACCCTTCTGAACAGCATACATTTATCACAATCATACAGAAATACCATATCTGCCCATTTAAATAAAGTAATTGGGTGTGTAATTGACAATGGTTAACAGTAGCCATTTTTATACGCTTGTAGCAGTTTTAGTATGAGCAGATGGATGCACTCCTACATTGGAGCAGACGAGTAAAGCAAAGTGTGCTAAAATTTTTGCAGTCAGAGTATAAAGCAGAAATTGTGCCAGTATTGCAAACCTAGGGCACATAAATCCCAGAAGACTGGCTTGAAGTCATATGGTTTGGAGACTGCATTTTTCAGACTAAAATAAAGAAATGTGCACTTTCTTTTGCATCAGTGATCTGATTTTCTTCTTCAATCTGCAGGGATATTTTTTCTTTTGTAACCACAAATAGAGTTATTCTTTCATTTAAAAAATGTGGCTTCAAGAGCAGGCACTCATTTCTGAAAATACCCTGTTGAGCCCAGAGTTCTTGGGAACTGAAAGAGAATTCAAGACACTGCCATTATATGCATGCCTGGGTCTCCGGTTTGTCACTATAGGCCACTGCCAGCGACAGGACACTGAGGTCAGCGGGATTCAGCTTGCACCCCTGTGACTGATCTTATATACACACACCCTCCATGTTCTGCCTCAAATCGCAAGAAGCCTTCCACTTATAAAGGACAAATACTACATTTGAAGTCGCTCCCTTCATGGTCGTCCTTTGTAGAGCTCTCGGTGTTAGGCAGAACCTTTCACGTGTGCAAGATATGCTGTTCTCTTGGAGGTGCCAACAACAACATCCAGAAAACTGCCACTGCCTCATTTTTTTTCAGAATTTCATACCAGAACCCTGAACTGGGCATAGTCTCATGATTAGTTTATTTCTTTACTCAGAGGGAAAAATCCAGCTCCTTTTTCCAAAAGAGTGTTTTTCACAAGGAATCTTTCACTGCAGCTATCAGTGTCACTAAGAAATGAAAACTTACCGCAAGATGTGGGAAAATGTTGTTTATTGTATCACCACAACTCTATAGGGCTGGTCACTTGAGACATAAACAAAATGAACGTTTCTGTGATTTTTTTTAAAAAAACAAGTAGTTAAGCTAGTGGAAAACGAAGAGGTGTATGTCTGACACTGAAGAAAACACATTTTGTAACTTGATTCATCCTAGTTTAAAGAATTATTTTTGTAGCAGCTTTCTCACAGTGCTTGTATCTATGAAGAAGCCGTTTCCAAGCAAACTACTGTGGCTAAACAGTGCAACAGCTATGCAGCGCTAACTTTCTGTGCCTGGTTGCTCTTCTTTAAATATGCCTACAGGTAACTTTGGTTAGTCCCCTTCCAAAGTAGAAGTTAGTGCAGAATGGCTAGTCTGAGTGATTTCTGATGGACATAATACTAGAAAATTTTGCTCAGTAGAGATGTTTCCTGCCTCTAATAAACACTGAACATTGGTGGGCCAAATGTGAGCAAATAGTGGATTTTAGCAGTTGCGTCCTTCAATGACAATTACAGTTCAGCAAATGTGACTCATAGTGGTTTGTATAAAAACTCTGAGTTTTCTTCAATCCAGTTTCATTCATTTCCGGAAGGAATTCTGGATAACCGGATCATGTAGACTCTCTCCTACCTCTTTGCCAGTGGCACTGTCAGCTGGCTCCCGGGCTGGGATTTAGCTACTGTACCCCTGTAAGTGTCAGCATTAGGCACTTAGTCTAAACCAGATGGCTGCTCCCCTCCCCATGACAAGCACAGGCTCATCCAAGGTGCTCCCCTTTTCAAGACAGGCACCTAAAACAAACGGGAGGGATTGCCTTCTGGAAGTATTTTTGTACTTCTGCATTGACCTTAGGGGGACTAGTGACTAGTTTATATCAGGCACTTCATTCTGAGAGGGGCAAAAGGAGGTAAAATGAATTAATGAATGTTTTGGATTCAAAAAATTACACTGGGGAAATGCGCTACATAGCACAAATTGTAAAAAGGCTGTCCCACAGGACTAATGCATGCAAACAGGGCATAACTATTTTGTGAATGTCAGATAATATATCTGTCAGTGAAATGATTATAAGCATGAAGTTGACTGCCATCTGTCAAGTCATTCAACTAAAATATATTAAAGCCTCCAGTGAATGTGAACGCATCGTGCCCCAATTCCTCAGCCCAGCTGACGCAAACAGACCTTCCTCCAAGCTAATGGACCTTCCTGCAGTACTAATGATACCCCACACAGCTAGGAGAGTCTGCAAGTACAGGTGAGACTGCAGATCATCACTGTCTCACGTGGCATATGGCTTGTATATGGCTTCGCATTTCCTGAACTTTTAGGATAAAGAAACTCACCTGTTCAAATCACGATGTATGATTGGTTGTGTGAGATTGTGGAGGTACTCCATGCCTTTGGCAACATCTACAGCAATGATTAATTTAGATTGCAGATCAAGAGTTCTATATTTTGAAAAAAAATACTCAAAGTTAATGAACGGGCAAAAATTATCTGTAAATTATTCTTATCTAGAAATCATAGAACCTTTAAAATTGTTCTAAATACAAAATAATGATATATAATCTATGTAATGTAAATGTGTATTATGTAAAATGACAACTAAATAACAATTACTTATTAATTTCCCTTGCATACCAAATAATCTGAAACAAAGCTAAATTTTTTCTACTGTTTTATACTGAAATGAACATTATTTAGATCAGCATAATCTACTACTCTTCCAGATTCTGTATCACAAGCCCAAGCAGAGAACAAGCAGAATACCTCTTCTGTTCATGAAGCAGGGAGAAGAGCGATCCTCCAGAAATATACTGAGTGACTATAGCAAACTGACTTGGGTCATCTAAGCAAGCTCCCACAAACTGGATGACACACGGATGATTCAGTCAGCAGAGAATGGAAACTTCACAGCAGAACATGTCCACGTCAGATTTGGAGCAGTAGGTATTGGCTCAATAGCTTAGGATTTACATGAGAGAAAACAGTAAGGCAAAAATAGAATAAAATATGGTTTTTTTTTTAATACTTAAAACTAGGTCATTAAACAAAAAAGATGGAAAAGTCTGATAAACTTACCGTTTGATTGCGACAATTTTGTTTCTGCATCGTCCCTTATATACCTTTCCAAAAGATCCTAAAATGATTTAAAATAAATAGCCACAAGGATATTTATTATGAACATCAGACATTTAAAATGGATGCATTTTTATTTCTGGTACCTGAGCCAATAATCTCATGGAACTCTATTTCAGAGAGCTGAAGATGGAAATGTGATGGCAAACCAGCACGGAGGAGGAGAACATCTGCCTTCTCTGCAAAAGAAAACACTTCTCCTGCTTATAGGAAGAGACAGAATACAAGCATTCAACGTCACAAAACCGTTGCCCAGTAAAAGCTCATCTTCCTTCAGTGAATTGGGTGACTGGTAACTCTATTCGCCTTTCTTTCAGTAACCATAGTAAACCCCTATAACAGACAAGTACTTGCAATACTACAGTTACCTTGGGCTTTCTTGGCTTTAAAACCTTATCACTGATGAACACCGTCCCGTGAGCATATTCTGCCTGTACCATATGATGGTTGCATAAAATCCTTTATATGGAGAATTAGTCCCTTTTTTTCTGTACAGCTAGTGCTCGTTACTAATGCAGGGGACGTTCTTCCAGATCTAACTCTTCAGTGACATGTGGAACCTAAGTCTTGCAACTTAATATAATTAGCAAACATTGCTACCTTGTTGATTTTTTTTGTTTATTACTATTAAGTTTATAAAAATATTTGTAACCACAACTTTCCAATGCTGCTATGTAAAGAATGTAAGGATTTGGTTATATCCAGCATGAATATTTGAAGTGGAAAATTGAAAGCACCACAAAAAATGAAATATTTTAAAGTACAAATATTCATCTGAATGTTTTATCTATATGTGTTTCAGATTAACACGAATTATTTTTGGATAGAATTTTTCTTGTAATGATAATCCAGGCATCTTACAGTGGAACTCCATACAATATTTGTTTGCATTCATGGATATGTGTGTATTTGATTAGTACTAATTCAGAATCACATCCTTTTCTCCAAAGAAATAAAAGTAAATATATTTTTAAAGGAAATGAAAAGGAGATAAATACAGGAATTATCATGATGCTGAGCAACAAAGCTAAGTGTATTGTTTCTAAAATTATTCTAGGGAAAAATAGCTCCTGCTTATGCACATCATCACATTTATGAAGAAAGAAAATTCCAGGAATAATGAATCTTGTCTAGTATGTTTAGGTGGACAAACACCTTGCATAAAAACTCATAAAAGCTCAACATTTCCCTTGCCGTTGAGCATACCTTTAGTCATGTTTTTGATCTTTCCTAGAGGGGATGGAACTGACACATAGGAACCATCTGAAATAAAAGAACAGAATGAGTTTTACGGAATTCAGACAGTGCAAGTATCTGTACTGATAAATTAATGAGGCAATGGTTGCTTAAAGAACGAAAAATAAAGATGTGAAAACACACCTAAGCACATATGATTGTGATGTTATATTGCTGTGTTCTTGAAAGTAATTTGTATCTAGCTTCACTAACCTCTCTAGAACGATACTGACTTTCACTGGTGTTAAAGAAAGCCAGTGTAGCCTTTTGTATCAGCTGGATTTGGTAAAGGAACTCTGATCAGATTCACAAATTCCGACAACTGGGCTGTGAGCATACTGCACTTAGTTCACTAACTAGATTTTCCAAAAGACCTCAGCTTTCTCCATAAAAAGGTCATCTCTTGTTTTTCTGCTTAAGCGGGAGCTGAGTTGTTTTAACAATCAGCATGAAGAAATTCTCTCTGGGTATGTTAATTGCTTGCCAACATAAATTTCCAATAATGCAAAAGTTAGCGGCCTAAAGAGTTGCACAGAGTTGAGCTACAATAAACCTAAACCTGGAACAGGTCAAACCATGTCGGAAGCAGCTTGGTGCTGCTGCTGACTGCAGCGTTCCTCCCGTTTCCACAGCAGGAGGGGTCCACGACCCGGACCAGCCACAACCTGTAACCCCCCCCCCCCCCCAGCCACAACCTGTAATGTACCCACCCTCTCTGCAGGCAGCGCTCCCAGCACATTGCAAAATGTTTTGTTTATCTAACTGCTTGTGTTAGCATTCTTCTTGGCACTTGTCACTTAGCTGCCAAAACAAATGAGGATTTTTGTAGCAAAAAGGGTAATTAATTCTTCTCAAGGGGCAATTAGATATCCAAAGATATTAAAAAATATGAAGGGGACTGAGTATAGAAATATACTGAATGTCAGCAATCAAAGAAACATCAGAGCTAAACAATACAAACAGAATGGCTAAACAACTTACTAAGGATGTAGAAAGGTATGAGCAATGATTACTAGGGATTGATCTTCATCTCACAGCTTTTAGCTTTTCTTCCTAGTGACTAATGTGAAGTGACAACTCTATTTCAAGATAAAGGAAGGCTTTTGACAGAAATAGAGGGTACCAGGAAAACAGCATTCTCATTACACTAATTTTCTTTGCGCCAGACAGAACTGATCCAAAGCTCCCTGACATCAGTGGAACACTCCCAGAGACTTCAGTGGTCTTTGGATCAGACCCTGAAGTTACAGAAGAAAGTGATTTCTCAGACCATACCTCCTCCAGGTTGTGAGTATTCATTACAGGGCGATTCATCTTGAGGTCTCTTATAATGCTTCAGAAGGGTCACGATGGCATCATGACCTAAGAAAGAATGAGGAAATATCAAGATTTGCAGGCAAATGCAATAGGGTTTTTTTTTAATTGATTTATACAAATTCAGCAGATTTAAAAAAAAATATAATGCTCCTATAAAACATGTAAACAAAGATATAGTGGCACTAATCTGAAACATACTGTGACTTTTAACTACAGAAATATAAGGAAATACTTGCCAATAAGAACAAGCATGTTGTTTTTGCCAGTCCACCTAATCCTAAAATGTGATATATGGCAAATGAAACCCTGCTACAGAAATCCTAAAATGGAAGTTGACAACAGTCTTCAATGGGCCTTACAAGGAAAACCAGTGCCTGAAAATATTTCAGTTTCGGTGTCCCAAACCAGACAATATTTGCACACGACATTGCTGTAGACAGTTGCTATGCTCCTTGTCCTCCTTTGCAAGGAACCAGAAGAGACCGGTGTATGCACAATGTGCTGACTCTACCAGACGTCTGATGCACGAAGATCTGCTTGGCAATATTCAAAATTCTTCTCCAAACCTTTCAAAGATGAATTTTCCCTCAGTAATTTCATACAGAGTATTTTGCTAATACCAGGTTTTTGAAAGGCCTTTGAAATATACAGCTTTACTATATTACAGTCGTTCTCATAGTAAACGGTACTGCAATGCTTTTGGAGCTGGGGGGGAGGTCCCAGAAGTCATGAAGTCAAGAACAGGACAGAAAACCGAGATGTTGCTGTACACATAGGACATGAAACATGGTATATGCCTTGCTTTGATCCACATTTGCAAGAATTTAAGATTACTGACTCTGATTCATTGCTCCTTGTAATGCCTCCTTCAGTAATAAAATTAGAACTCATGCAGATACCAGAGGCAGAAACAGCCTTTTCTGAACACGCTGTATGTTTTCTATTTTAGCAGCACATAAATATTCCTGTACTTGAGTTTCTGTTGAATAAAGCTGATGTTTAACAGAGTACCTGAGAAGATAAAGGGTCGGTTTTTATAACCCTTCATGCCAGAAACTGGAAAGCAGATGGTGAGAGCTCTGAGTCTACAGGGACTGCGGGGTTATTCTGTAGTATTTTCTCCTTCCTGCATTGTTCTCTCCTTCCTGTAGTGTTTCTATGGATTTTCTGGCAGAAACTACAAAATTGAAATACCTTTCTCATAAGCCCACATCAAACAGGTCTGCTCATCCTTTTCTCCACTGGACCTGCTGGGATCACAAGCTACCAGATTCATATCAGCTCCATTATCCAGTAAAAACTGTACAAGTCGAATATGACCATGGTAGCAAGCACAGTGTAATCCTAGAACATCAGAGAAACATCGTAAGCACAACTTTCAGAACATCATAACAGGACTTGCAGCAACAACTATAAAGTGCAAATTGATTTCCTCGGTAAAGGAATAAATTTAAAAAACAATACCTGAGGCAATAGGTGAAAATAAAATATTAATGCTGCAAGAAACAACTTATTGCCTGCTATACAACCTGTCAGCATTTACTCTGCCACCTGCAAATCACATTTAACAACTTTGTACGTGAGAAAAAGCAAGTAAAAACAAAGAAGGTGCTTTTTTTCCTTGCCCGTGGTAGGGATACGGAGGTGTGCAGCCCTTCAGACACTATATCCTATATGCCCAGTCCCTAGCAGAACACTGCTCGGGCCCAATTCTTAAAACTATTTAGAAGCCTAACTCTGAGACAATCAGTTTGCATCAGGTTTTGTTACTCATATACAAGCTACAGAGCCTGACACATCCTCACTAAACTCTTATCACTTCTTTGCCTGCCTGCAAATATATTTCAAAAAAGTGGAGCTCTGTCTGAAAGGTAATTGGATGTTGATCACTGAATTACCATGGGAATCACCCTGGAAATCCTGACTGATTTTTTGGTGCTGGCATACGCGCTTACACACAGTAAGGATGATGACATTACCTGTGTGGCCATCTCTTCCCTGGTGATTGATGCTTACAACATTCTGGTCAAGAAGAAATTTTACAAGTTCTATGTTCTTTCCATAGGTGCAAGCGCTGCAAAATTACAGGGAAAAATGAATGCTATAGTCCATAAAAGGACAAATACTTTGAGTAGCCAAAAAGTTTTTAAAAATTACACAGAGACAGAAGTGTAGTAATAGAATAAAGGATCCTTAGAAATGTGCAAATGCATGATTAATCCAGCAAAGCATGTTCATTTCTATTGTTTCAGAAACATTAGGTTAAACATCTGGTCAGCCTTCTGAATAAAGGGGGAAAAATGCATTGTCAGTCATTTTGGGGAAGAGATATGTCTGCCCGTTTTAGCTGACCTCCCTCTGCACCTAGGAATCTCTGCAGGCTGAGAACAGCAGTGCTGACATCAGCTTGCAGGGGCTTACACTGAGACTTTTTTGAGCCAGCCCATAATCTGCAAGTCAGTGCAGCTTTGCACTTTATGTGTTTTGAGCACGACTGCCATGTTGTAGTTGCTCTTGTCTCTTGAAGGTGGATTTATACCAAGACAGGACCAGTCCAGCTAACAGAGTCAGCTGACCAAATTTCAGTGGCCCCTTCTGTAGTTCCAGCAACTTCCTGTTTTAGATATGGAAATTGCCAATCCTGTTTGCAGCATGCTCATCAGCCCTTCACTATAACCCAGAACTGATCTGAAACGGCAGAACTGCCATGGGGTGGCCTGAAATAAAGCTTTGCTTTTCCTTTCCAAATTATCAAGATTCTGATGGGCACTTCAAAGCAACTTCTTTTAGCTTCCTTGTTCACCTTATTTGTCTACCTGTACTGAGTCATCGACAATCCATTTTGATACACGCAAAAAACGATTATTGCAAATTGTGTAAAATTGAAAATTCTGTGAGCTTTCTTATATCAAAACTACATTACTCAGTGTCATCTGTGCTACACTGTTAAGATGATTTTTTGGACTTAAGGTATAATTGCTTTCTTCCAGTAGCAGATGTATTGAATGTTTTGGTGTATCTGTCTGTGAATGAATCACAAGTTATAAATGACCCTTAGAAAGAGCAATTGCTGTCAGTACATTATAATGTGAAGAAAAAGTAAGATATGTAGATACTGTACGCAAGAAAGCAATCCACTGAGTTATTCCAAATGCATGGAACAACAGTTATTAAATACTAGGCAGAAATATACTTCATTGTTGATATTGGGAAAGGAAAATCCGGTTGGTTTTAAGGTTTATGTTAACTTTGAGTAGCAGGATCAAGGATTCTTGATATAGTTATACAGTGACAAAAAGAAATTTTTTAAAAAATAAAGAAGACATAATAAGGATATATTTTTCATAGTCACTATTAAAATATAAACACCCAAAAGGCAAGAAAGGAAGAGCAGAATTCATTCAAATGTCTGGATTACCAATATTTGCATTTTGCTCGACGCCTCTTCTCACCTGCAAGGATGATGTGTGTGTTTCACATATTTAAGAGGACGGGAATATTCTTTGACAGAACATGAAACTCTATAAAAGAATGGACCAAACTGGAGACATAGTATATTATTTTTGGGTGAGAATGGTATTTGTCTCTGTTGGTTCAATATAATTTCACATGGGAAACAAACAATCTGTGATACAACAGTCTTGTTCTGTTTAAGAGATGTACCTTTCCAGTGTGTTATGTCACAAAAACACGCATTGTGTATGTTGCACACAACTTATAAAAATATATCCAATAAAAGTATTTTTTCTAAATTTCTGAAGATCAATTCTTGTATCTTACCTGCAAAAAAAGTTGCTTTAATCAACACACAAAAGTATAACATTAAAAACAAAACTGAACCTAATTCATGCTAAATACCTCTCAGATAAGCATATATGCACAAAGGATTTGAATTTGATGTGATTTCTTAAACTCCTGGCTAGCTGATATTCTCAGATATGTTGGGTGAAATAGTAGGGTTGTTGTAGGATAATGCTACACACTTTTTATCATGAACGTCTATTTAAAAATGCTTCTGCTGGGGAGCCGTGTCTGGAAGATCCTTGACCCACAGGTGGGAATCGTTGGAGACTGCCAGTTATCCTGGCCACATCCACGCCAGGGAGCCTTCTGCCTGTTTACAGGGTAGGCAACTGCATTCCCGCACCTGGGAACCTTCTTAGGGAGGCCTGAAATGGGGATGGACATACCTTATACACTTCTTCCTTTACCCATCTCATAGGAAGCAAGGAAGATATTGGACAAAGTTCTAGGCGGAGTTGTCTATTGGTGCTGAGATATACAAATATTGCTCTCTCCATCCAAAAAAGATCTTTATTAAGTTTTAAAAGAAAGCCTATACTTGTGTGATTCTTAGTGTATTTCTTTCTATGTTTAGAGATAGAACAACCATAACTGGTTGACACCATAACTGATAGAACTGACAAATCAAATCTACTTTGTACAACATTTAGGTCTCAATTCAGTCTAGCACCAGATCTTTGAGACAGTTTTTCAAGAAATTAATAGACAACAAAGGAATAATCTGTCCATTAGAGCTTTCTAAACTTGTGCTATGCAGGTTTTAAGCACAACTTTGACAGACATCTCAGGAACAACTCTGTCCTATAGCTGAGTCTCCTTGGGACAAAGGGTAAAGTACACACATTCTGAAGCTCTGTCTTTTAATTTTCTGTGAGTATAAGGAACAATGAAAATTAAAATAAATCCTTATTTTAAAACCTTTCTGAAGTAATGCTGAATGCTCACAGAAACCAACAGTCCTCTAAACTGAGCTGAACTTTTAACTTCACTGACGTCTACTGGCAGTTCAAAGCTGAATTCTGTTTCAGGACAAAAAATAAAAAAGGAATTCCTGTAACTTGTATTAAGCTTGTGGCCTGGAAATTTAATTAACTGTCCCCACAAACCTTCCTATCAGTCTTATATTAAAAGGAGTAAAGAAAACTGTTTTATTTCTCTTTCCTAAAAGAATTCTTCACTTCATAGATTCATTTGACATTTTTGCTTTTATTTTTTATTATGATGTGCTACCAGACACAGATGAATTCTGAAGTGCAATAAATAACAAGGGAATAAATTTCAGAGTTTTATAATAATAAATGTCAGCATTTTAGAATATGTACCCACAGAATGGCCTGAAGGACATCGGGGGTCTCAGGGCAATGAGCTTCTACAAGACAGTAAGGTGTAAGATGGAGCGAGGAAGGAAACGTTTATCTTCTCCTTTGTTTATGCAGTGAGAAATGATGTCCAATACTTGCAAGCCATTTCCTTTGCCTCTGGAAGGATATATAACTAGAACATGGGATGATGGTTTTTGTTTTAATTGATAGCTTTTAGATTTCTAAATGAAACATGACAGGTAAACTGGAATATTGTTTTAAAAAGAAGGAGAATTTCAGAGTAAAAATAAACCAAAATCAGTCAAAAAACTTTAGAAGGGAGTTACGGCAAAAAAGTACATCATATTGGTTCAGGAATTACTAAAGAAGAGTACAGGAGAGCTCTTCAAATTGAGATTTTTAAAGTATTTTTATATTAAAATGAGGATAGATTGTACAACTGTCATGGCAGTCAGAGACTAAAAATTCAGGTTGCCTAACAAGTAACAAAAATGAGCAAATGCTCAGTTTTTGTCTGTAACAAAATGGAGTACTGTAAAAATTATTCTTAGGACTGAGACACTACGTATGTAGAAAATAACAGGTGAAACCATTTCAGTAAGTAAAAGGATGACAAAGCGACAGTGAAAATCTGTTTTAAAAAAATAAGGGAAATTTCCCAAGTCCCAAGGAGTGATAGCTGTTAATAGTCAGAGAAGCATGACTGAACGTGCCTGGATTTTCAATATTAAACTCTGGTTTTAAATTTAATATTTGTTTCATTTGGCAGACATGACTGATTTTCAAAGATACTTGAAAGAAGAGGAGCTGCAACTCTAGGCAGCTCAGTGGTCCTGAAAGCAGACAAGTTTTACTGAAAGACCATAGGAGTTGTAGCGACAAAGAATATATTTTATATCATGTGGTCCCTGAAAGAAATCTCCACAACCACCAGTTTGAAGACCAATAAAAAATAGAATTTAGCTTATGTGAAGGACATTTTTGTTTCCTGGCCACCAACTAGTTCTCTAAGTTTGTAGATATTTTGTGTCTTAGCTACACTATCAGGCTATAAAAGTTTTTCAAATATAATTTTCTTCTTTCATTTTGAAAGGAACAGATTTTGAAGTCATGCAAACTTCTACATTAGAAGTCCTACTGCTACATCCAAGCATTTGAGCAGCGATTATTTCCAGGTATTCTCTGATTTCAAAGAAATGGAACATAAGAAAAAGTAGAACATATTGATAATTTTAAACTACCTTTTTTTTTTTTAAACCCCACCCTTTGTTTCACTGTTCCTTTTTCTGCTGGAGTGTTGGGACATCAGCAAAAGTGTGACCACACAATCAGGCCGGCTGACAGCACAACAGGCCAAAACAACTGCTCTATTTTCAATAATCAAGGTTATCTTCCTTCATATAAGCAGCAGCTGAGGCTGAGAAACAACAGATAATTAGATGGCTTGGACTTTGGTTCAGAAATCAGCCCTCCTGAGACCCAGCCGTTTACCTTTCTGATCACCTAAAGGGCTCAGCAGCTTAACAAGACCCCTCTCAAGATCATGACTATACTCAGCCCAGTGCTAAAACCGGCGAGTCATCTGGATCTAATGTGTTGCTGAATATTCATTCGTAGGGAGAAGCTGGGTGTAGACCTGTGTACAGTGAAGCTACAAGAAAAGCAAGAAGGAGACAAAAGTTCAGCCCGATGAAATAAGGAAAGAGATGGCTGAATACTCTCATTGTAATGAGCTTCCTTTCCTACTTTAAGAAAAAAAACCTTCTCTTCGTTTTGTTTATTACAATTCTCCTAGGAAAAAAATCTAACACATGACAAGAATGAATCCAACATTATGAAGTGATACTTTGTACATCAATTATTGCTACATTTTACTATTTGCATATTCTAAAATATGAAACTGAATTTCCTGACAGAATAAATCATACAAATTGGTAGAAACCATATTGGCTCATTAATGCAAAAAAATCTGTAGGAGTTTGGAAGGCATGAAAAAAAGAAAGAAGGAAATGGAAATTGTTAAAAATACCAGAAATTAGAAATTCCGTACTAAATTAGTTTGAAAAAATCTCAAGATAGCTAAAGCACTTTAAGTGATAGCAGCTTAAAATGGCATGCTGGTCTTTGAGATACATTAGTGGTCTGAAAAGGAGTTTGGAGCTTATAAGAATCTTACTCATACCTTAGGAAATGTGCTTGAAACACCTTAGTGATGTCTGAAAACACATGGAATTTACCTAGTCCTTCCCTACAGTGTTTAGGTTAAAACAAATTATGAGGTTAGCATCTGCAGAACCAACTGTACTTGTAACATATTGGTTTTATAAACATGCATATGTAAAATATGAACATTTGTGATGATCTATACATGGGTAGTACATTTCTGTTTT